TTTTAAAAAAATAATTAACAAATAATAACATAATTTTTATATAAACTATTATAGAGAATCTTAAAATCCCCTATATGTACCTTACTGGACATAAGTAGATGCTTTAATTTATTTTTTCGTCAAATAAATAGAAAGAAGAATATTATTTCATTCACCTTTATATTTAATTAAGAAATATTATATTAAAAATATAAAAAACATTTTAATTTACATCAATAAACGTGAGCTTTTTGTATTTTTTATTTGTTGGGTTAATGAAATTGCCCGATTTTGTCTTTTTATTTGACAAATTCAACTCATTACATGCTTTGTTAAAAATCATGGACCCATGTCCTTGGAAATTTTTATCAAAAGAAAACCGGCCCAATATCCCTTCTAGAAAACCGGCCCACAATTGTTGTTTGTTAATCTCTTCACCTGATCTGTCCATATGCAATCACAATATCACATGCCAAAGCCCATATTACCAATGTTCTTTTGATTTTTTTTCTTTTTCTTCTCTTTCCTTTTTGGGACAATAGTTACAAGAGGAGTGCTAGGGGCACTCGCCTTCTGCACTCTCCGGCCAACACTTTCACTTTTATTGGGCCACGTTATTCTGGTCGGTAAGAGGTTGACCTCAATTCCTGAAACAGGCTTACGTGGCCCAATGAAAGGGGAAGTGTTCGCCGGAGAGTGCAAGAGGCGAGTGCCCCTAGCACTTCTCTAGTTACAAAGGGCTGCGTATGTTTGAATTTGCTTTTCCGAATTTTTCCAATATGCTGTCCAAAACTACTTTATTATCTTTCAATTCCGTACCAGGAATTGCAGCCTTGCAGCTCCTATCGCTCCTTCCCCTCACCTGAGAGGAAGCAGCCTTTTCTAATATCAGAAGTCTAATAATGTTTGAGTTGTAAAATATTTTTTATTATTTTAATTTATTTTTCGTATTCTTAAAACTTAAATGTTTCTCCGACTCCCACATTTTTAGTTTATCTGAATTTGACCTCTATCCGGCGTCTCAAACATCAGCAAAAACCAACATTTAACCCTTCATTTTACAAAATTGATATGTTTTAACTCTTTATCTTATAATATGACAATTTTAACTTTTTATCTTATAAATTGATAAATTTTAACCCCTCACCTTGCAAAATTAATAGGTTTTAACCCCTTACCTGATATTATGATATTTTTAGCCCATCATCGATATGAATTAAAGAAAATAACCTTCACTTAACATCATATTATAACATTCTATTAATTCTGTTAATCTACATTTAATATCTATTAGCATTTCGTTATAAAAGATATGAAATTTAAATTTAATTTTATTTGTTATTTCTATAAATAAAATGCTAACGGATGCTAACAATCAACTAATAGAACTAACAGTTAGCTAATAGAACTAACAGTTAGCTAATAGAACTAACAGTTAGCTAACAAAACTAACAATCAACTAACAAAACTAATAATCAACTAACAGAACTGACGGTCAGCTAACAGAACTAATAGAACATTACAACTTGATATTAAATATGAGTTATTTTTTTCAATTTCTATAGATAATGGGCTAAAAATGATATAATATAAGGTGGGGAGCTAAAACCTATCAATTTTGTAAAGTAAGGGATTAAATCTTATCAATTTTATAAGATAAAAGATTAAAAATATCATACTATAAGATTAAGAATTAAAATTTATCAATTTTATAAAGTGAAGGACTAAAAATTAATTTTAAATCTATTCAACAAAGAACGGAAAAAGAAAGTAATTCTTGATTTTGTCCTCTCTCTCTCTCTCTCTCTCTACTTGTTCTTCTTCCTTTTTTTTTTTTTCAGAGAGCCGCCACTTTCTATGCCACCGTTCAGTTCGAGTCAACAAAATCATCCTCCCTAGTCAACAGTCAACTCACTTACCCCTTCAGTCCTGCCAGCTTTCTTTTCTCAAAATGCTAGCTCCTATTCTTCCCCCTGCCTCTCCTCAGGCCTTCACCATGCTTCCTCTGGTTTTCGTCTTCCCGCTCATCTTCCTCTTCCCTCTGGCTTTCTTTTCTCAGTTTTTGATATTATGAGCTATTCCTATTCAAACTTCATTTTTGGTGCATCAAAAAGTAAAGCAAATGATTCAGCACTCAATCAACATGAGAAATGCTAAGAACCCTTGCGAGAAATATTTAGATGCTTTTGGTATTAGTTGACCGATGATATATTTTAGTCGGTAGTCAGACACTGTATTCAAGCAGACTCTCATATGTTGGTTATATGTTCCTATTAAGAGGGCATCGTAGTGCTAACTCTTAGTCTCAAATCGGTTGTTGGCTGCACTAGTTCGTTCCAATCATTTAGGATTATTAAAGTAGCAGTCTTGTTAAATGCAACAAGAAGCGCAACTAACTTCATATCCATTGTTCCACTTCCTTCCTAATATCTCTCTCTATTTCTT